AGCAAAGGGGGGAAACCCAAAATTTAATAATTCAAACACTTGTTGTCTTTGAAATATTGAGTTTATCTCTGGGTACAAAAGGTACATATTGAACAGCTGTARCTAAACAATCAAGTCTTACTATATTCAATCTAGATCAAAAGGTGATCTAGTCTTCAGTCACTACTAATACCCACATACTTTTACTTTTCCTTATGTCCAAAAATATTGCCAACATTTGCTTCTTCTAATACTTACAAAACTACACACACACAAATATGTGTGTGTGTATTTTTTTTAAAGTGCCCTTTCAGTAAAGGCAATATTTTCTGGGCCAGTTTAATCATAATAAAACCGCAGTATTTTGAAAGAATTGCATAAAAGGTAAATKGAAATAGCGAACATCTAACTTTMAATACTTCAAAGAATTACTTAGCACTATATTGGGCACCATGAGGAATACAAAAAGAAAGACCAAGAAAACAATGAAAAAAGTGATTAATAATTTTTAAAATACCATCTTAGATATGTTTTGAGAACAAAAGGATCACTCAGTCACTCTTTTCTAGGGTTAACTAAGCTTAAATAATCTTTCATAGGAACAAAATATCTCTATCATCTTTTAAAGTACTATCTACCTCATTCCGTGAAGAGGTATTTTAATGAAGAAATGAGGAAAACTGAACCTCTATTAACCCTGTTTGTTCCATCTGAAATAAAACTGGTAGTTCCAAAAGGTGATGACATGAAAATGATATGGTTAATTCTTATACAATGCTACTACCTTTGGATTTTTTTTACKAAAGTTCACTAGGCAATGAATTATCCTTAAATTCTAGGAAGCTTTAAACTTACATAGTGCAAAAAAAAAAAAATCTTTAAAAAGAAAGTTTTGGTGTCATCCCTCTTGTGTTTCGAGGTATATCTACCATCACACAGATGCTGTGAAATATCATTATGTGCCTAACTCTTCTATTAGTAGCAAGTCAAGCATTGGCCAATCATGAGTGTTTCTCAAGAAAAAAACGTGAAATTAACAAGCGTCTATGTAGTCAATAAAAACACCAGTCTTGTATAAAGACAAAAATACCAAATCTTAACTATTTTTTAATTAATAGTTAAAAATAGTTAACTATTTTTTAAGTTAATTTCTGATGGGTTTTGTTACCTCTTCTTTTAGTGCATGTTTCCTCTGTTCCAAACAGATCTCTTTAGCTCTCATCATCTGCAAAGTCTCTTTAGAAACTGCATATTGGAGTTTTTCCATACGTTCAGCAGCTGCTGCCCACGATGCTTTACCAAATTTCTTCTGATCTGCTCGCATTCGATCGTACACAGCTATTAAAATASAATCATTTTTTWAAATGACACTAAGAAATAGAACTTGACATTACAGAATTAGAAAATCTTTGGTTTCACTGACCACATKAATCTTATCTCCATAAATTACCTACCAACATCTCTAAAATATGATGACAATATTGTACAGTCTCTCTAATGTCTTCAGTTTCAAAAATAATGTTCTGCAGATGAAACAGTGTCCAAGTAGTTTAAAATTTTTTTTCAAATATTTTCATGTCTAGTGTTAGTAACTTTCAAAACTTTATTCTGTTAAGGTTTTGACAATCTGTCCTAACTATGCTAGATGAAGGAAAAACCATGACTAYTTAAGATTATAAACATTCAAATCCACATTCCTAGTTCTATCATTCTTTTCCCTCCAAAAATATCATAACACCCTGAGGTGGGAGAGAAATAAGTTCTAGATAACATGGTGCTCATGCAGAGGAGATAAAAACAATACAATTGATTTTCAGAGAAGACACAGCCCTGACCCACCCATCAAAAAGGAAGAACTTTTTAGTTTATCAGTGCAGACCTAGTTAAAAATATAATCCTGGTGGCTAGGTGAAGCTGCACATGCCTATATTCCCAACAACTTAGGAGGCTAAGAGGAAGAATCCAAATTTCAGGCCAGCCTCAGCAACTTAGAATGTGGGGACATCGCTTAACGGTAAAATTCCCCTGGTTTTAATCTCCAGTACAAAAAAAGGACGGACAGACAGAGACAGACAGACACACACACACACACACACACACACACACACACACACACAATCTTAGTAGTCAAAAGGCTAACATCTTCCAGTTAAAAAAGTATACCACTGATAAGTAGCACTGTAGTGGCTCATTCTGGTCTTACATGATTGATCCAAACACACTTTAATTAGCATAAAACAAACTAAATTATCTTTTCTTGTTCAAGCTCAAAGGCTTTTGGGCATGATAAAGTGCTTAGAATTTAGATAATAAGAAATCTGAAATGATTCTATTGAAGCATGTGGAATCCTAGGATAATGCCCATAGGAAAAAACATCTGAAACTGGAGAAGTTATAAATAAGAGCAATAATCTATAAATTGTTTACACAGGTCCTGGGGTTGTGGCTCAATGGTAGAGTGCTTGTCTAGCACATGTAAGTAATGGGGTCGATCCTCGGCAACACATTAAAACAAATTACAAATGTGCAGGATACAGTGGCACACGCCTGTAATCCCAGCAGCTTGGGAGGCTGAGTCAGGAGGACTGGGAGTTTACAGCCCACCTCAGCAAAAAGCAAGGCACTAAGCAACTCAGTGAGACCCTGTCTCTAAATACAATACAAAAAAATAGGGCTGGGGATGTGATTAAGTGCCCCTGAGGAAGGAAGAGAGGAAGAAAGGAAATAAAGGTGTTGTATTCATCTACAACTGAAAATATTTATAAAATAAATTGTCTATATAGAATCAAAACTAACAAACTATGAATTACATGAGGATTTAATGACAGAATCATTGCACTTATAAGCTGTATACAGAACTGATGGACACAAAAAGTCACACAGAACTGAAGAGGATCACAAAAGTGAGGGTTTTTTGTTGTTGTTGTTTTGGTTTTTTGTGTGTTTTTAATTTTTCTGTAATGGGTAGAGATTTTTTCTCAACTAGAAGTGTGTTGTGTATCTAGACACTATCCTGAATATCGWGTTTTCCTTTTTAAAAAACTTTTTCATTAAAAAATTATAATACAGCTTCATGGTCATGTGTAACTTTAACTTTGTTTAGAAAATAATTTTATGGTTTCTTAAGTGACTGTAGAATTTTGCATTTCTAACAGAAATGAAGAGTTCCAATTACTCTATTTACTCATCATTACTTAGTATGTTAGTATTTTTAATTTTACTCACTGTAATACACATTAGTGGTATCTATCTCATTGTGGTTTTAATATGTATTTTGTGGTGACTAATGACATTGCACATTTCCCCCCCCTGTGCTTGTTTGCTATCCTTATCCTCTGGTGAAGTGTCTGTTCAAGTTCTCTTTTCAACTTTTCACTGGATTATTTTCTCATTTTTGAGAGTTCTTTATGTAGCCTAAATACAAGTTATTTYATCAGATGTACATATTTATGCCCAATTACACTCTTAATTGTTTCATTCTATTTAAAGTGTCTGGCAGTATAAACATTTTAAACTTTTGATGAGATACATTTTACCAAGTTGCTCATTTACAGTCTGTGCTCTTTTTGCTTTTAGCTTTTTATAGTTTATATCTGTGGTATTATTAAGAACTCTTTGACTAATCCCAAGTTATAGATTTAGGTAATTCAAGGAAATAGATTTTTCTTTTGGAATTACATTCTACATTTGAATCTATGATCCATTTGAATTTAAAGGAAGGTTTATATCAAAGTTCAGTTTTCTGTATGTAGATGGTCAACTGTTGCAATATCATGTGTTGTCTCACTATTGATTTGCTTTATCAAAGATTAAAAGGCCATATTAGTATGTCTATTTCTTTACTACTATTCTCTATCACTGATATAGGAAAGGTAGGTGTACACACATATGCCTGCCTACAAAGTAAACACCTTAATTTGCTATGGTCTTTAACTGCTAGGATGAATGATCCTATGTTTTTCTGTATAATTATTCCCCATGTAAAATACTTAATCACTMATCTTCAAAAATGCCTAAAAAGAATAATTTTACTGGGACTTACCTTTTTGAGCTTTTGCTGTTATTTCAAAATATTTGACTGTAAGATCTTGAATAGATAGTACAGCCATATGAGCTTTCCGCTGCCAGTCGGCATCTTCTTTTTGTAGACTCTCAATTCTTCGGGGTCCCAGATAATCATTTTCCATAGAAATCTTTAGAAAGAAAAGAGAAAAAATAAGAGGCTTCTTTTTTTTTTTTAACTCACTCTTCTTCTAACATTTACTAAATGCTTATGTGTCAGCCATTAAGCTAGGTGCTAATAAACCAATACTTCTTTCACACTRCTCTAGAAGAGATGCTATTAATTTAAAAAAGAAGTGATTAACAATGAAACAGACTATTTGATATAGAAATCTATTTTCCATGCCTCTCCTCTATACTCTTCCATCTCTTCCCCTCAATATATAAATAAAGGATATAAACCAAAATGTTAAAAATCTGATTATTTTGTGGTGTTGCAATAAAGAACAATTTATTCTGTCCTTTTCAGTAACTACAAATTCACGTTAAAAATTATCTGTGTGGAGCTGGGGATGTGGCTTAAATGGTAATGTGCTCGCCTGGCATATGCGAGGCACTAGGTTCAATCCTCAGCACCACAAAATAAATAAAGATATTGTGTCCACCTAAAACTAAATAAATATTTTTGAACAATCATCTGTGCACCGCTTCTGTAACTTAGCAATATCCTCTCTCAAAACAAAAGGTAGTTTAGTGGTAGAACACAGGAAGGAAGGAAGGAAGGAAGGAAGGAAGGAAGGAAGGAAGGAAGGAAGGAAGGAAGGAAGGAAGGAGAAAAAATAGAACAGAAGGAAAGAAAGAAAATGGAAGGAAGGAAAGAAAAAGAAAGGCGAGATAAAAGAGGAATAGAAAGGGAAATAATTATTTGTGCAATAAAATATTTGTTTAATTTACTGCCATTAAATAAAATACAGAAAATGCAAATTTTAAGACTGATAATATATAAAAATTAGCCCATGTGCATACTGATAAGGCCCATGACTGAGGCTTAAGGAATTCTTACATTCTGAAGTTGGGTAAAGAAGGACCTACAGACACCAAGTCAGACATAAGGAAATTCCAGAAGCTGTAAGATTCAGAGGAGGAAAGACTCTCATTGTCACACTCCACTTAGTAGAAGAAGAAAAGGATGAAGACTAGTATCCATGGACATAATATCATGAAGATCACTGTACTTAGCAACATGGTTCTGACCTAAAAGGTAAACTCCCTTTGCTTTTTAACTTCCATCACATCTTTAGAACTCAGTTCATTTATTGGTTTGTGAAAATACCCTGACTTTCCATAATAAGCTAGTTGGTGCAATACCTATACCTTTCCTTCACAACAATTACTACTACACCCATACTTTACCATTATTTTGTGAACTTGCAAATACTAACAATATATTGTATTTCCTAAATGACAGAAAAGAATAGAAAAAATTCCCTTCCATGCAGTTTTGTATCAAGAGAAATGCAGACACACATATATAAATAATATTCTGAGAAATCTTATTACGTGAAGGAATAGAGAAAAAGAGAGACCTGGGGAAAGCTATGGGCTTATCTAATGGACTTTTGCTTTCTATTTTGAGTAGCCAGATCTTTTTTTCTTTCTTTCTTTTGGTACCGGGGATTGAACTCAGGGGCATTCAACCACTGAGCCACATCCCCAGACCTATTTTCTATTTTATTTAGAAATAGGGTCTCACTGAGTTGCTTAGCRCCTCGCCATTGCTGAGGCTAGCTTTGAACTTGTGATCCTCCTGCCTCAGCCTCCCCAGTCACTGGGATTATAGGTGGGCACCACCAAGCACAGCTTGAGTAGCCACATCTTAATGGGAGAYTATGGGCAAGGTGAGGTAATATAAGAAACAAGTATCCAGTTGAGGGCAAATCTAAAGCTGTAACAGATGGGGCTAATTAGAATAGGGAAATTCCTTAAAAAAAAAAAATAGGGAAATTCTTAAGCAGAAATAACCAGAGATGTTTGCACTGAAAAATTCTTTGAAATAAAGGCCAGATTTGGATCCTACACATCTAATATGAAAGTTATGCTTAATATGGTTATGAAACACAATTTTATGCAATAGTGTTTATGAAGGTTTTTTTGGTATTTTTTCCTGGCAGCACTAGAGATAGAATTCAGAATCTTGCACATGTTAGGCAAGTACTCTACCACTGAGATACATTCTCAGCTCCTGTAAAGGCTTTTTTTAAAAAGTTTTTAATAACAGGAAATGATGCTTATAGTAGGTGAGGACAGATCAAAATCATAGACATAAATCTAATTATCTAAAAGAGTTGCAGAGAAAAAAGACAAAATAAAAATAATATATTATTACTGTTATCTTATTGTGGTAAATTTTTTTTCCCTCCTGCTAAAAACCGCAAACTCACTTTCCCAAATTTTTTTCTTCACTGAATATATACATCTTTCATAGTCATAAGGAAAAAAAATGACTTGATCTCTTCTTRGGTTCACAAACCATACCAAGTACACAAGGTGAAATCACATTATCCCAGAAGTTTCCTGTTTCTATTCAAGCAAACAGCTAGAACCATGTTTTCAGATATGGGGCCCACCAAGAAGCAAGACTATGAGTTACCTCCTTTTTTCCAATCTACAGGGAGGGAGGAGAAGTGGAGATATTATCAAAATCTAAATGTCTCCACTAATAGCTAGAAAAGAGAACTATGAATCTATGTGAGTTCCATATCTGGGACTATAAAAAAAAATGCCAAATAAAGAAATTTAGGCCAGGAACAGCGCCTTTAGTTTCTCTATAGTCAATTCCCTACTTATCTGGATCTCCTCCCCCACTTTTAAAATTCTCAGTGAAAATTACTATACCTCCAACTTCAGAAGCCTAACATAATATGCACTGCATATCGTTGGATTTTTCTTCTCCTTTTTAGATTTTCTAATGGCTCCTTCCTGGAAATTATTTCAACTATAGAATTTGAATAGAGAGACTAGGGTACTAGGTGCTTCAAGGAGCAGAAGTATATGATTGAGATGCACATTCTCCTCCTAGTAAACACACAATCTCATTGGCGAGGTGCTATAAAGATATCTGTGATGTAGAAGTCAGTTTTGAAATTAGGAGACACAGCTGTTACTTATTAACTGAGAGCTTTGAAAAATTACTTATCAAGTCAATTGTCCACTCAAAATGATGGCATATTACACATCTGCTCAGTGCCAATATTGCACTGTAGACAGCAAGACATTTGACTTAATGAAAGACATGGGCAATTTAAAGAATTACAACAGAATATGAAAAAGCATCATGACAAAAATTGCCTAAGATACCAAGAGAACACCAAGGGTAGAGGTTCAGGTGCAAAGTCTGGTCAGAACTGAAGGAACAGAGTAGTGGATTCACAGAGAATAAGCAGAAAATATTGGGGGAGGAGTAAATATTACAAAYAGTGAGTCTCTGGGTAAAAAGAATAAAAGTACTTTAAGACCATGGAGATTTATGCTTAAAAGTCTGTTGAGAGCAAAAGTAAATAAAGTTAARTAAGACAATCAGGGGAGACAAAGACCACTGAGAAGAATCAGAAGGGGAAAATACATTTAGTTATTTAGATCAGGACATACTTCACTGAGTTTCATAACTGCAGATGGCTTTAAAGGAGGATATGACAGGTCTATATGGAGTACAAGGGGAGAGAGAACCCCTGAAAAAGACAAGCTAGAAGCAACTACCAACCTGAACAAAAGTGTAGAGGCAGGCATGTGGAGGGCATGCTAWGGGAGAGAGAGTAGTCTAGCCTTGTAGGAGCTTAGATGAAGCAGATAAAAGCAATGGGAGGGGAGACTAGAAAAGTAGGTTGTGGACACTATGAGGAGGTTTTTAAATGTCAGGCTGAGCAGTGTATTCTTAATTTGACAAGGAAAAAAAAAGCACTGTGGGATTTTAAGCAATAAATAGTATATTTGGACTTAATTTTAGATTCAAGTATTCTAGTGGACCTGGCTGCTCATAATAAAATCATTGAGGTGTATTTATCCCTGATTTTAAAATCTGTTTAAAAAGTGAGCATTGGGGCTGGGGATGTGGCTCAAGCGGTAGCGCGCTCGCCTGGCATGCGTG